CCAGTGTGGGAAATCATACGCCAAAGATAGTTTTCAACTATAGACGAGGTAGGAAATGTAGTAGAAAAGGATAAGAAAAGAGGGTCCACTACGTGTCTGAAGAACGTGATGTCCCCTTGTGCACTCTGCAACATGCTTTTTTTTAAAGGGATAAACCCCATTAAATTTAATTTTCTTCATGACGGTGAAGGGTTCCTTGGGAAGTATTCTTCCCACCCCTAAAATTTAAATGTAAGCATAAAATATATAAATATATTTATATATATTATAAAATATTATAATATATATAAAATATATTATCTTAAATGCTATTATTTAATTGTTGATAAAACACAAAAAACTGCGAGAAATTCAAAAGTGAAATAAATAGCCCACGAAAGGGTTAAACTACGTATTTAATTCATTTTATCCTGAAATAAAAATATAGTAAATAAAATAAATCAATGAAATTAATTTTATTTTCCTTAGTAATGAAATACATCTTATCCCCAAAGTTCTAGATAGTTTGTGTGACATGTCATGAACATATATAGTACACTGATTCACACCTAATGCAGAAGCGTTTATTAATAACCCAATTATATCCTTAGGTGATTTTCTTGCACTTTAAAAACCGCAACCATGTTCGTTAGAAATCGAAACTTGTCCAAGAATCTTGAGTGGAAACCCCACCTGAGTTCATTATGTTTGTTCTCTCATTCTTCTAAAATTGCCTGAGGTTTCACATTTTTATTTTTTACTTAATGATTCCGAGGTCTTTCTGTGTTCCAAATGACTGAGGTTATGTCAAATATTCGAATGGTTCATTTTTCTTTATTGAGCCTGAAAATAAAGAATTTGCGGTTGGTTGTATGTAGAAAATTATTTTGAAAGTATCAATGCACACGTGTATACTATGTGGTCAATGGTTTTTCTTTTAAACATTACCAGAGTTAATGGCTACACGATTTATAGGTTTATTTTTCAAGCACAAAAAAGGTCTGTTAAAATAACAAAAGAGCAGTGTAAAACATTATTATAGTAATAGAGAAGTGTAAAATGTTATTGACTTTAATTTAGCTATTGACATTGAGGATTACTGCCGTTTATTTAACTTCTATTTATAAAAATACCTCTAATTATTTTTTGAATATTTAATAACGTATTAAAGTATCCAACTACGTTCGGTACCATGTTTTTTCAAATGCATATAAACGAATGTTTTCTTAATGTTTAGGGTCACTTAGATTAGAAAACATGTATGAAATTTTTTTAAGAATATTATTACAATTAAAAATGATTTAAATGCAATATTTTGGCAAAAAACGAACATAGAATTATTTATTTTCCAAGTATTCTTCTTTTATGGAAAATGTTTCAGCAAAAATAATAGTTTGTCTGTATATAGCTCAGACCTCTGTACAGAGCCTGATTTAGGATTTTTGAAGTATATAATTTAGAAGTGGTTTTATCCATATTTTAATACATCAGAGTGGAGAAATTTTAGCAGAAAAACACTGATAATTATTTCAATTGGTAGTGACTCTGAAAATAATGTGATTTTTTTCAAAAGTAGTAGTTCAGGCCCTTTGGAGAAGTCTTAGCTATACATAAGGAAAATATTATTATATAATCATTTTTCATAAAAGGAGAATATTTTGAAAAATGGTAATTCTAAACTCCTTTTTTGCCAAAATATTTAATTTAAGTAATTTTTTTATATTAATAATATTCTCACAAAACAATTTTATAAGTGTATTCTAATCTAAGTGACATTAAAGATAAAAAAAAAAAAACATTTGTTTGTACGCTTATGCAAAATCATGGATCCACACGTTGTCCAATACCTTAACTACCAAAGTGGTAGTTAACTATATATTGAAGTACTTCTTGAAATATTTAATTTAACTATGAAGCCCTCATACTATGAATGTATATACATATAAGAAAAAATTATTAGAATAAAAATTATAATATCTCCAATAAATTTTTGATTTTAAAATTTACAGAGCTGAAAATTTTTTAAATAACTTTCAATAATCATAAATGGGAAAGTTTATAGTATCTAATGAAAATCTGCATTATTAAAAAAAAAGAATATTTAACTTGTATTAATAATAAGTTATTCTCATGATTGTTAGTTTTTAGAAATTAAAGAACCAAAAAAATATGAGATGTAGGGATTCTAAGCACATTATCTTTAATAAAAACCAGTGTTTTATATTTATTATTTTCAAACTTATTAATGACTTATTAAATTAGTATTATTTTAAAATTCTACGTTTAGTTTTTTTTCATCCTTAAAAGACGTGTAACAAATCCGAAATATAATTATAATACTTAAGAAAGTTAATTATAAATAACTGCATGGATAAAAAGAACTGTTAACAAATTCTCGGATGGTAATTTTATTAAAATTGTCATTAATTCAAAAAAATAAATTTTACCATTTGTTATACAAATCAGATTTTCAAATATATAATATGTATTTTGAGTATTAAGTTCCTTCAAAAAAATTCGTATTTCAATCTTTATATTGTTAATTGCTTCAATTTACATTTAAATTGAAAATTAACAATTTTTAGAATAAAATTAGGTACAAACATTTAACTTTTAATTTTTATTAAAGAACCTGATCCAAATACTAATTATCGATCCAAATACTAATTATCAATTGAGTGTGGTCCCCATTAAATATAACATATCTTTTTTATTTTTAATGCTGTATTTCTTTGCAGTGAAAAAAATTATGCTGAATTCATTTAAGTGCTTTTTTATCTTTACAGGCATATTTTAGCATTTTTTTTAACGTTTACTATTTTTAATAATATCTTTTATAAAAAATATTAATAAATTATTTCTTTTGAATTACGGATATTCCAATGTGAGAACTGTCAATAAAAATAGATGTATTTAAAATTATTGCGGTTAATTTTAATATGTGTCGATAAATAAAATTATTTGTTCATTATTTTATGTCTTAAATGATAATAAATCAATTAAATAATAATATTAATTAAATGTAAGATAATAATAAATAAAATTAATAAATAATAAATTAATTTAACAAAAAACACATTAATTGAAATAATTACATTACTTATAAGTTATATTTTTTGTACCTATTTGATTAATATTACTGTAAATTACTTATTTCACTTAACTTATTGATTGTTACAACGAAAATACATAAACAGCTCTTTTTTCCCATTTTTCAATATTGTAATAGATTATAATTGTAAATGAATGACATAAAAATGTAAGTTTATTATCCCTAAAACAAAATGCGTATATAGTGAAACACTACGTAAAGCATGCTTGATACCTTTGCAGTAATTTATTAGCATTACTTTTTCTGGAATTTTTATTACAAAGTAGCATGGCAAACTTAGTTTTTATAAGTGAATACAAAATAAAGTTTTTCGAGTGGTTGCATTGGTTTTTAAAACTATCGTTATGTAACAACCTACTGAAGGTTGTTGGTGTTTGGGAGTTCTAGCAAAGATCAGCCACATAACAAGTTTTAAACTCAATTTTATTTTATCCCTTTGACTTAATCAACACAGTTAAAGGTAGGAAATGCTCTTAGTAAATAATTGGAAGAGCAATCGCACGGCGCTTAAGGTACTAAAGTATAAGTATAATTTACTCTTACTCTTGTAGCACTCTTGACTTCTACACTAGAATTCAAGTTTAGTTATACGATCTCCGGTTTTAAATCTAGTTCACAATTTTGATCACTTAAATCTCCAATTATCCTCTCAACTATCGACCATCTATCGACTATCCGTCGACTAACATCGCGTACTAAAATGCCAACGCTTAAACAGAACAACTCATTTGAATAAATCAAGTATTCTTCAAGGGAACGTTTTCAACTGAATTTACAGTTCAAAAGAATAATTTTACCCTAAGAGGATTAATGGAAAGTTCGCGAATAGACCCGTTACAGTTACATAAATCAAAATTCAAATTCTTTTTTTTTAAATTAACAAAATTTAATTGGAATTTTTCCCGGGGTATGTGAAACGTACGTAATAATAATTGATCAATTCTATAATTTTCCCCTCACATTCTATTTTCCTTTCTCCAGCTTATTACTGATGAAAATACAAAAAATATATTTTTTGCAATCCAAATACATCGTAAATAAAGGTACTTTAGATACATTTGACATTATTTATAATGCATTTTCTAACTGCCAAATGTACAATTCCCTAAAGATCTTTATTAAATTCAGTGTTGAAACAGTCTCTAGTATTCGTGACCTCAACAATTCCTGTATTTTTCTTTGCTTTCCATTATTTCAAAACTACCGTTGATGGGCTGTGCAGCTTCAAGAGCAGGGATATCAACTCAAGGAGGTTATTAGAGAGGGAAAAGAATTCTCTGTATGTACGCTCTCCACCTTAATTGACGCCGCATTTCCTAAGTTCCAACTCCTGACCTTCAACGCTGGGGTCAATCCCTTCGACCTCCCCAAAACTAACGGGCACGAGGAAAATCGAAAATTGCGAAAGCCTTAAATAAGAAAAGAGAAAATTGTTTGGAAAATAAAGTAATTTTCTGTAAAATCGGTGGAAATAATGATAAATGGTATTTGTATGCTTTGTTATAATATATATTACGCGAGATTTATTTACTTATTTTATTTCTTTTTGTATGCACGTCAAAGAAATAACAATGTAGCAAAAATAATTTAGTGCTTTTCGAAGGATTTCAAAGAATTAATGATTATATATTTTTTAAAAATTTATATAAATTGTGCTTATTTTTCAATTCTTTTACTATTAGTTCATTCTCTCCCAATATTGATATATATGTCTTGTTCAAATTTTCAATCGTTAATAAAATACTTTTTATTCATCCATTCAAGTTCAAATACATTTTGTTAAACTTGTAGTGGATGACACTTGATGTTAATACAGTTTTTTCAAGTATTAATTCATTAATTAAAAGATGAATAAATAATAATGAACAAAAATAATAGTCCTATACCATATAAAATAATAGCTCTTTGTGACCCTGTAGTGCAATGGATAGCGCGTTGGATTTCTAATCCAAAGGTCGTGAGTTCGAATCCCACTTGGGATGGCCTAATTTCTGAGAATGGGATTTCTCTTTTACTATTCTATTTTATTAGAATAATCAAATTTAGTTAATGGAACAAAAATAATAGTCCAACACCCTATATAGAATGGAAAATGGCAAGGAAAACCACTTTCTGTTTTCCCACTTAATATTGTGATTGTCATATGTATATACATATTTATATTAATTGTAACTATTTAATGAAAAGAAACTCTAAAATAAAAATTTTCTTTGTTGACCTAAGTAGAAATTGACTTCAATTTTTATTATTTTTTATTATTACTTGTTTATGATAGGATGAAATTTAAAAAAAAGGGACAACATCTACTGAAATAAAATTGTGGAGGGGATATATAATTCTTACTGAAAGACTGATTAATATTTTTACGAATGCATAAAAATTTACAATTCTATAATTATAAATAAATTTAAACTTAGGATTTTCTGCACTAATTTTGAAAGGTGAATAATAATCGTAACTAAAAAAATATACCAGGGCTTAATTCAAACACGAGTAATACGTATTAAACTATTTTAAAAGGTGACTACGTACGAAACCATGATTTTGAAAAAGCGTATAAATGGACAATTTTTTTATGTGTATTTTGTATCAGTTGTGAATAGGAATATACTTATAAAATTGTTTTACGTGAATAAAATTACTATAAAAAATATTTAAACGTAATTTTTTGGTAAGAAAGGCAGAAGGAATGACGTAATTTTAAAACACATTCTCCTTTCATAAAAAATGTTTCTATAATAATAATATGTGTTTTGGCTCTATATATGGCTTGGAATTCTATTCCGGGGTTAGACTAAACTGTTGGTAAAACTCACATTATTTTCAGAGTTACGATCAAATGAAATAATAACGAGTGTTTTTATTAAAATTTCTCTACTCTGATACATTAAAATATGAATAAATCCACTCCTAAATTTTAAATTTCAAAAAGTTCAGTTCAACCCAGGTATAGACATTTTAGCTATATATATAGGCAAAATATTATTATTATAGAAGCATTTTCCATAAAAGGAGAATGTTTTGAAAATATGTTGCTTCTTTTTTTTTCTTGCCCAAAAATTGCATTTAAATAGGTTTTTGTTATAATATTCATAAAACTATATTTTAATTCACTCTCACTAAATATCAAACAATTAACTATTTATATTAACAAAATAAATATATACTAATACAAACATTATTATATTACTAATATTTTATTGATTGATTGCTTAATTAGCATTGTATTCCGAAGCTACGCTTGGTGACAGACCTCATAAATTTGAAACACGATCAAGTGACAAGGATGGCACATAAACTGCCCCTCACTCTCCAAACTTTCATTCCATGGCAACGTGAGGACTTTGAACTCTTCTGTTGGTTTCACGTGCACCAACTCCTCTACATTGCGGATTTTATTGGCACTAGGATTTGGATCTACCACTGGCATGAACAACATCAGTCCAATTTCATGACCATGATCCCTCATGTACTTCAGCCGTAAAAAATATTTTGCTAAAACTCTCTGTCAGTTTATCAGGTAGTTATGTTGTATAGCAAAATAACAAAATCAGAATACATTGTAAAATATAAATACAATAAGTTTAAATCCGAAAAGTCGCCATTCCACTATATTCATAACAGTTTTCCATTCTTATATACAAATATTTTATCCTCAAATATTAGCAACACTTTAACAACTGTTAAAGTGGTCATAAATGTCAAACGTTAAACCTTAAATATGTAAATCCAAAAGATACTTGAGCAAAAGCAACTGCATAATCCCCTCAAGCATTTGTTGAAAGAACAATACAACTTAGGGCTCTGTTGGCTTAGTTGCTCTCTGTCAAAAAAACTGTTGTTTGACATGTGGAATAAACGTGTTTCAAAACTAAAAGCTCAGTTACACATCCTCGAAATGTCAAAAGTATTTTAGCTTCCGAAAACCGAAATGCAGATTTGACAGTTTACTACCCTGAAGTTTAAAAGCTGAACCTGTTATAGGAGAAGTATAATAAGGAAGGTTATACAACTAATTGTACATATTATGACGGTTCAGATAGACATTTTTTTATAAAAAAAATTTGAATTGATAGTTTAAATCTGAATGAGGATAAACGGAAGAAACTAATCATTGGGTATTTAAGGTTACACAATACTCTTATTCAAAAACTATTTTTGGATTCATTAATAAAGTAATTAAGGATTTTTTCTCAGATTTTATTAGTAATTTTTTTTTAAAAAAAAAGAATTAGCTTACAAGATATTGCTTTAAATTTTTTTTTTTAAAGTTTTTTGAAGTTTTTAAATTTTTATAAAATACTCTAACATTTTTTTTATAATTATATATTAAATATTTATTTTGTGTATTTTTTACATTTAATGAGAATAAAGGTTTGAAAAATTGAAAATCTGACTCATTAGTGAATTTTAATAACTATTTTTTTCTTACTTTTTGAAAAAACAAATCAGAAAAATTCCAAGAATATTAACTTGTCATTTTTCTCAAATAATGCTTTGTACATTCAGGTAAAAATTCATACTATTTCATAAGTATATAAAAGTATGTTTATAAAAAAAATTTCAAAGCTATCTTGGACTGAAAATGAAGTTTTAAGAAGTACAAAATACACATATCGACAAAAATAAAAGCACAATACACAGAAGCACAATATATAGAAATCTTCAAAGAAATCTATAATACGATTTGGATATCAAATATTATATAATTGAATTCAAGTTTGGCAACCAGATGGACCACGGAAAAAAATGTAAAATAATAAGGGTTTTTTTGTTGCAATTTTTGCTGTTTTAGTATAAAGAGATATTGATATACTTTATTTCAAAAATTCGTATTCTAGATTGCTTTTTTTAATTGGGATTGATCAAATTTTAATATTCTATCGTTGAATGTGTTTAAAGGAAACATTCTAGTCTGTAATCAAATGCCGTTCTAAGACTTGCTGTTATTACTGAAACTTGTACTTTTAAATTCTGGATTTTAGAATTTTGGAAGAATAAATTAAAATTACAAGTGTATTATTTCTGCGTCTATGATATTTTTTTACTTTTGTATTGTATAAATATTCCATTGAATGTTTCTAATTTCGAGTATTATTTTTACTAAACAAGTTGGGATAAATTTAATTATACATTTTATTTAGATAAATGAAATTTTTAGAGACAAAACTCTTGGTTAGAATTGTTGAAAATTAAAATGAGTAATTGGTAAAGATAAAATTTCCAATTCCTAAATTCTAATTCTAAAAACACAGATAGCACAGCAAACACAAATAAATTAAAAGTGGATATGTATAAATTACTTAAATATAAACTAATATAATCGTATTTTATTTTTGAGCTACCGAAAATAAATCACTTTCTTTTAAAAAAAATTACTTCTCAAAATAGACACAAATATTTATGCACAAAATTAATTTTACTCATGTACATGAAATAATGTAATCTATGTACATGTAATTTTTTCGTAAAAGTTGTTAATAATATTTCAACTAAAAGTATAACATTCCAATTGTGGTCTCTGAATTGAGTTCTTATGTGATTCTAAAGAATTCGGAATACGTATGTGGTTTCGATTTTTAAACTTACATTTCTTCGTTTTAGAATAGTGAATATTTTTTATCCCTCATATTCTTCTAAACACTAATTAAAGAAGGCGGTATGTTTAGCTCGATTATCAAAACGATTGCTTAAAAGTTAATTCATTCATTAATGTACCTAACTTTTCTCCTTGTCCATTTCAACTAAATATAAAACTCATTGCAACAGCATTTTAATCTCGAAATTTAAGTGAATTTTATAATATGCTCAAGCAAAAGTTCAAAAGTTAATTTAATTCATATATTAAAATTGCTCAATTCATTAAAATTCCTTGATATTTTTTTCACTTCGACAGTTTAAATGATGAAGGCGTTTATTACCTTGATTTGTTATTTAGTGAAGACTTAAACAAGCCACCTCACCATCAAACGTCAAATGATTGCTTAAAACTTAATTTAATACTCGATAAATCACAAACATAATTGAAATTCAAAAAAGTTATTTTTTAACTAATTATGAATCACCATTCATATTTCACTGACAATGCCAGAGGCTGTTGTTGAAGAAGCTTCGATGATTATTCCCATTATGGTTCTATTTGACAACTCATCCACTGCTATTAATCACGTTTCATCCGGGCACTTTAGGCCTTTACTGTTCATTTGTAAATGAAATCGGCGTTTATGGAATGGTGCTTCCTTGACGAAAATCAAAGTGGCTAATCCCTCATAAATTATTCCATGGACATCCCAGCTGTCAATCATGATAACAAAATTTCTGACATTTTCTCGAAAATTTGACTTTTGCAGCTCTCCGACAACCTATCGAGGCCACGGCCTATTTGACTGCCGGGCCCTCCCCCCTCATCGTGCACTTAACCTCGCGGGTGCCCATTAGGCAATAAATTCCTTGCTTTTATCATAAATTTCCACTTTATGGCGAAAAATTTGAAAGAAAAGCTATTAACGACTCGTATTGGGAATTGCGTTACATTGGGCAATGGAGTCTTGATGAAAAATGGATGTGGGGAGGCTTGAAAATTGACGGCTAAGTTGATGGCAGTAATTTACGGTTAAGCTGCTATTAAAACAGGTCCTGTAATATATTCTTTGTACAAGAATCCTTAATGATGCATATTGAAGATTGCTGATTTTGGCGGATGCTCTTAATAATGATATTTAGAATCTTGTTTTCATTACGATCGCCATTATTCATATTCGTGCCTTCTTTCCAGAGTTAGGTTGGATTTTTGATTGATGCAGCAACCCCTCTCATTATTTCATAGCTCGAGAATGAAAGTACTGCACAGATTTGAATATGTGCGATAAATATATTCGACGGACGTTTAATTCGATTTCAAAACTTGTGATTAAGCGTAAAATTGATTCTTTTTCTTGGAGAAGAGAAATAAGTATGTAATTTTGAAGTCAGTTTTACAGCCGATA